GTCCTGTTACACAGTGGTTTCCAATTTCCATCAACTGTCAAACTTACACCATCTATGTTTCCAAGCACAAGCTCATACATAGGATTTTTCAAATATATCGCCTCTACCTCTCCTGTGTAATATGGCGTATCCACTGTAACCTTAGCAATCTTGAACCTTCGCACCGTTCCGTCAATCAACACACATGGGAGTTCCTGGTTCCCTTGATATTGAGTTTTGTTATGGCTTGGTGTAGCCTTGCTGTTGTGCGAGACCTTAGTATGCTTCATGATACCTCCACCATTGGCCTCCATATACTGCTCTGCCCAGCGTGTCATTTCCTTCAGTCTTGGGTACTCTTTCTCTCAAAAATACTGCCATCTCTGCTGAACATGTCTGAATAAACTGTTCTCTGATGAGTAAATCCTGTAAAGCCTCATAACTGTGGTCAATCTCTGCCAACTCTGTCCATCTTCCTAAATATCTGGTTAGTCTGGCAATAAACTGAAAAACTGTCTCTCCTTTATCTGGTTTACCATCTCTGAATTTCAGTCTAAATCCTTCTTCTGTGAGTTCGTAGCGCCTGAGTAATGCTTTCTTCAATAGGGGTGGGTGGCATGCTCGTATAAACTTGTAATCATTTTCCCACGAGTAGGGGGCTGCGACTCACTGCCAAGTTGTCCTCTGGCCACCTCTGTGATGTTGCATATTTCTCAAATCTTTCCAGAAATGCATCAATATCATATTTCTGCTCATCAAACTTTGGTCGTTTTGTCCTCAGTGACCTAGATCTTGAGTCTTCAGTGTTTGTTCTGGCCAGCTCTAGCCGTTCTCCACATCTGCCTGTAGCTTTAACTTCTCCATCTCAAACTGACCTGTAATCTCTGCTTCTCTGCGTACAGTCTCATCCTTTGCCTCCGATCGATCTCGAGCCCTGTCTTCCCTTGCTAGGACTCTTGCTCCTTTGTCGCTACAAAGTTTAGTAACTGCTCGTCTTCTAGCCCCAATCTTTCTCCATAAGTTAACCATTTGTCATAATCCATGATTTTATTTCCAGTTGCTTATGCCGTATAAGAATGAACAATAAAATCTGGATAGCAACCCAATGACAATGTAACTCAAAATAGTTCAATCCTAAGCTATTTAGTAGTATCAGCTCTAATCTGTCTGAATACCACTATATGGGTGTGCCTGTGCACTAAGCACACTTCAATAGTAAAATTACTAGTAAACTACATACCGCCTATTCTCAATAATAGGTCAACAATAACTTTTGGTACAGTATTACAGGCTTAACACCAAAAATAGTATCTCACTATTCTGTATTTTAGCACAGTAACTCTATGCTATAACTGATCTATCCTAAATACTCAATTTTAGAAAACAGTTTCACAAAAATTCACAAATTTAGCTTGTGAGAATCTAAAATACCTATATATAGTGCCCGACCTATTCTGTAGTACAGAAAAACAGCCTATAAATAGTTTTTTTTCCAAAATGTATCCCGCAATACAGTATGAAGTTGAATGTAACAACCAAACGAACTTGTCGTACAGAATAACAGTCTATATTATAATATAGCACCCGACCTACTCCTTTATACACATATATGGAATAACAGTGACTATGAATAAAAGACCCGACCTCTTCTGATACACAATATGTAATGGTTGTACTCTACAACATTCCTACTACACTGCCTACATGATATGATGATTGTGATCCTACACTAGCACATCTACACAGCATATCAATTTCTGTTTGTAACAATTAACTCATTGTTTACATTTATCTAATGCACTGTTTCAACACACACTACTAACAACCAATGTAATCTCCACAAATTTAGAGTTTTACCCCCTGAAAATATGGTCTAAATATTTATAAACAACACATATATGAATCCCGGACGAGCCCCTAAATTGTCAAGTGACGAATTATTATTTATTTGTTTTCGGGATCTTTTCTTTGGTATCAGTGCTTTCGCTAAATTTGTGGAGAAATCACAGAGGCGCTCACGTTGATTAATAACAAGTTTATATAATCAACAACATAATAAGTACATCATAAACATAACAATACAGGACGTGTGTGTGTGGCGCAAATTACAACTTCGCCTACAAATGCCACAACGAGCCACGGGGGTCCAACGCGTCGCGTATTGTATACGTAAAACGCATACAGTCAATAACGGGTATACGTATCACACATAACACACAGTTCCTTGGAGTGTTCAACGTAATGGCTATACTTAGCCCACTTCTGTCTTATGTTCCAGCATCCTTGGAAATCGAGAGTTCGCCATGTTCACAGTCTTCTTCGCCATCTTCCCGCTCTGTCCCCGAGGGTCTCTCTAATTTGCGCCATAGGAGATTAAGCGCCATAGGTACGCCATAGGAGTTTTTGCACGCCATAGCAAAATGTAAGTGTTATATCCACGAAATATTTCGATTTTTCCATTGGTATACTCATTTAACATGTTTAGATAAAGTATCATTTAAAAAAATGTGTACTTTGTTAGAAAATCGATCTTGATTACGAAGCACTTTTACACTTTTTTGCGCCATACGTGTTTTTTCACGCCATAGCAAAATTTAAGATTTATTTTTAGCAAATAACTGTTTTTTTCCTTTGGTATATGTATTAAACAGGTTGTGGTAACGTTTCATTCTTAAAAAACATTTATTTTGTAAGAAAATCGACAAAATAATTCTTCGCGATTCAGAAGTCAATTTCAAGGGAAGTATCTCGTACATTTTCAAAATACGCCATAGCAATGAATAAGACATGACTAGTACTTGACTGGCAAAAAATGAATTTATTTAACATGTTTTGGTAAAGTATCATTTAAAAAAAATGTGTACTTTGTTAGAAATTCGATTTTGACTACGAAGCACTTTTACACTTATTTGCGCCATATGTGTTTTTTCACGCCATAGCATGTCTAGACAACCCTACGCGACAAAATATAGTCCTCTTTGCAAAACAAATTAATAAAGGGTAAAAACACATAAATTAAATTCTTTAAAATACTTAATTTTATAATGGAGGCACTTAGGTTCATATTTGTAATAAAGTAAACCAAATTACTATCACAGTTTAATTACTTACAAAAAGTCCCATCATATCGAACTACGCATTGAGGATAAGCGACAATGCAGAGTTGTTTTGTCACCACTTACCCTGATGATAAAATATCAACACCACCTATATAAGTTATACTTATCACTTTGGTTCACTTATATATACTTTCTGCCAATCGTTTAGCCTAACTTTGGACTTGGAGACGCTGACATTGTATTGCATTTAACATGAGTTTTCTCCGATCAAATACATCTAAGTTAGAATTGCTGACTTGCATAGTCTACTGGCTTTCATGAAAATGAAAGTTAAATGCGGAATTAAACGATGTGTTTCCCCCAGAGAATAATTTCCCCCACGATAGGTAGCAGATGATTATTCTGGGCAGAAAAAAGAGCTGACGTCTCAGACGGATTTTCTCGAGGCCTGCGTATCCTTAAGCTAACCAGGCTTTTATCAGATGGGCCGCTTGTAATGTTTCTCATGGTAGTTTGTAATCAGTGTTTTCATTGGTTAAATCAGCAAACGTGATATTTTTCACCCACTTTTATAAAAAGGAGTAATTGTTAATATTTCACTGGTAAAAATGAAATAAACAAAAGTCTTCCAAATAATCTAGATAGTCTTCAAAGATGGTCAGGGAAATGATTAATAATATCCCATCCGATGGTTTTTTTCTCTCTCAATTAAATCAGAAGATAAGAGGAAGTGTTATATGACTGGTGAGGAAAGGGTTACATCAACATTACAATTATCTATGGAAAATGATCTAAGGATCACAATAGATGGACATGTGAACTTTGGACTTGTATTCAACTTTGCGTAAACAAAGCAAACAATCAGGAGAACATTTATATTATCTAGATGAATCAATGTTTAAAATTATTTTCAAAAATCTTGAATCATTGAAGCACCGTAGAATGAGAGGAGATATGTTTAATGCATATACATTATAAACAAAAAAGACAAGAGGACACTTGCAGAATATCTTGAAGACGTAATCACCTGGACATCGGAAAACATTTTGCAACTGGCAGATGCATGGAACAATCTTCCACAACATGTATTCGATGCGCCCAAAGTTAGAATAAATTGAAATTCTTAGAAACGAACTCTTGAAAAAAGTCTGTAATTTTAAGTTTTACGACCTGAATTGTACATCGACATATAATGAACTTTGTATTACCTGAAGTAAGATATGTGGTTATAATTTAATCTTGCTTGTAACAAGCATTTTCATTGGCTTAAAAATTTATGTTATCAGTCCATAACATAAAAAATGACGTCGCCGTTTGTAACGTCGCTTTTGATTGGCTGATACAGCAGTGCAATACATTCTAAGAGAACAGAGTCCATCAATAAAAGTGGATTCCACAAGGATTGTGTAAAGTAGATAAAATTATAAGGATTAACTTAAATAATTTTTTTATGTTATGGAGCTATAACACAAAAAACCGGAGTGTACTCTCATCATAAACCGCTTCGCGGTTTATTTAGAGAACACTCCGTTTTTTTGTGTTTTATCTCCATAACATGAAAAATATATTCAAGTTAATCCTTAAATATTATGTAATTGTATCTATTGATATGGATACAGAGGCTCATATACAAAAACTGTTTTCATCACAATTCCGAATGAATCCTAATAACTGCATCTACTTTATTTTTGACACATTTTGAGATGCATGTTTGCCGTAATATGTTAAATCTAATTAAATCCTGTTTCTGTAGATCAAAATGAGATTTGAACATGATTTCAATCTCAGATCCTTGACGCAAACATTTTACAACAACGGTCCGGCAGAACGCATAACAAGTTACGGTTATTTGAAATTACATGCAGTAACAGTTTGGTTACGGACCTGTTATTATAAATTCAGCTTTAGTAGTTTCATAAGTTTCTGAATGCGTTATGGCATACAAACATGAAGGTTACTTACTTGGTCCGATTAACTGTTGCTGTTCACCTATGACCGAATGAAGAAAAATCGATGTCAAGTTATTATATGAATGTTTCAATAACTTGTAGTGAAAGCATTTGCTTATTGCGAGCATTTTGTTTTATTCTACGTATTAATTTGCAAACGAAAAAAACGCATGTTACTGTAAAGGTTAAAAAACATAGGGGAAATGGTCGGGGCTCCCACTGTCTCTGGTCGTAGTTATGTAAACAGATCTTTTCACTGAATTTATAACTGAATTAAAAGATATTTTGACTTAGTGCATTTGTTTGAAATAATCCACCTGAATATGTTTGAAAATAAAATTCCTGCTACTGTCTCTGGTATTTTGTAATCGTATCCACACTATGAAAAGTTTAAATATATAAAAATCTTTGTCCCAGGCTTTAGTGAAATTCCTGTTACTGACTCTTTTGGTTATTGTGGAATTGCTTTACCATCTGCTATTAGAAAGTCAAAAAAAATATTCAACAAGAGGTCCATTTGACCTGTATCTTCATCAGATGTACTTGCACCATAATTGAATGCACAAGGTTTGAGAAATACAAGAGGTCCATTGGACCTGTATCGCTCACATGGTTTTATATATAAATCATTACAACTGAATGCATTAGTACATCTTTATATGAAATATCCTCAAAACCAGACAAGATCTATGTTCTAACCCAACTGGGACCACACTATTTGACTTTCAACGAATCAGGCCTCTATTGAGTTGCCATGTTAACAGATTTTGAAATAAGTAATATGTCATATTACATGGTGTAATTAGACAATACTTTAATTTTCATTCAGCTATAAGCTTTTTTAAACCTAGAAACCAATTTTTTAACAATTTCTGAAAACTACACCAAAGAATATGATAATCTAGCTGTACCATTTCTTAGGACCGCAGGGGTCAAATCAAACTCATTCAATCAAGAAATGTTTGTTCTTCCTCAATAATGTTTTTGACCGAATTTTGTACAATCCACCCAGGCAATAAGGGGGTATTAGCGTCTTGTAGCAAAATATTAGATATTTTTCCTCTTTGGGGCCCAGCCTTCCTAGCCCCAGGGGTCGAACCAGCCTGCTTTATTTAGGAAAAGATTGCCCTCCCCCAATGAAGTTTCAGAGCAAATTTGGTTAAAATCGTCTCTGGTGTTTAGGAGGAGATGCGTTTTATAGCAAATTTAGCTAAGTTCCCCTTCAAGGCCCCGCCCCCTGGGCTCAGGGGTCGAACAAACCTCATGCATTAAAATGTTTGATTTCACTTAAGTGGAAAAAAAGTGTTTTGTACTTGTGTGCAAGATCAAATAGTAAAATACTAATAATAATAATATACAACATTTGATATAGCGCCCTATCTAGCTAACATAAGCCAATCTAAAGCGCTTTACAGTACGTAAGTTTGAAGGTAATCTGCTGAAAACTACTCTAGATAACGACCGGATACCGTTTTGGCGATTGAACTAAGGTACATATCTCCATAAATAACGGGTTGAAAAATGGTGGTTATCATATTCGTCCGAGCTTTCAAAGTAATAAACCTTCCTATGAAGTTTGATGTTATTCATTGCGAATACTAGAGATATCGAGTGAACACTGTCCACCTGCTCACATTATAACATAATACATCCTTTTTTTGACGGGCATATATGCACTTTTTCTCAATAACCAACATGTCAGAGTGATGATATTTTGCAAATAGCATCCTGGGGTAAATGGCTACAGTTTGTTTAAATGAATAATTTTATTGGCTTTCAAGGTCGAAGGGTTATAATGGATTAAAATCTTTAAAACATTCTTCTGAATAAGCCAAAAGTACCAGGTTGATGATTTTGGCCGGTAGCATGCTGGGATGAAGGGCTACCAAGTTTGTTCAAATGAATAACCTTCACGAACTTTCAAAGAAATATGGTTTAAATATTTAAAAAAGTATTCAAACAATTTCTTCGTCTGGGTTTTAATGTTTGGTCAGAAACATGTGTGAATGAAGGGCTACCAAGTTTGTTCAGGTGAATGTTCTTACCAACGTATTCTCAAGTTGACAAGGATCAAATATGTTAAAACATTCGAACAACTTATTCAAAATAATCAAAAGACCCAGGGGTTGAATTCTGCCTAATTAAATTTTCGAGTTTTTACCAATAAGATATATTACGATAAGACGAACAATCAAATATCAAAATACCAAAGAGTTGTACATTATACTAAAAAGGATGCACATTTAGTCTATCGAATTTTATGGGGGAAAAAATGCGATTTTGTAGTATGAACTTGGATGAACGGCTACCACATTTGTTCAAATGCATAGCCTTGACCCACTTTCAAGACCACAGGGGCCAAATGTGTAGCTTTCTTGATAATGTGCTACAAAAATTGTTCAAATCCACTTTCAACGTCACATGGGTCGAATGTTTAAAAAAATTATTGAAAAAAAATCTTCCTAATAATCAAAAGACGTAGAGTGGTGACAATTCGCATGTAGCTTCAGTTATGTTTTCGAACTTGGTCCACTTTTAAGGTTACTGGTGTGAGATTAATATAGTTGTGGAATGGCACAACGTTACTTGATGTGCGATGAAAAGCTATGGGATTATAGCGTGTGCACAACTGCAATAGCTATCGGACAGTTGTGTGGTAGGTATCATGGTTGGTATAATTTAAGGAATTGACTGTGAATAAATACGATTTCGTATTTGATAATATATCTCTCCCCATATAAGTATATTTCAGCCAGATTTACATGATTATCTACTTATCTAACAGTAATGGACACATCTCGTTCAAAAATTATTTTCAAACGATCTTAATCGCGTTTACTGTAGATAAATTGCCATATACAATGTACGCAGATGAAATGTAAACTACGCAGCTTCGTCTGTGATCGACTCCATTCCATTCATTAGGTGGATGCATATTTACTGTACCTGGCAGAACAACTCCCATTATTATTAGTTTTACAGTCATTTTAATACTATGTAACGGCATTGAAGACCCAGATGAAGTACAAAATATACTGAATGGATATAAACGTTATGTACCATATTTTACCCGAGCTTTCCGGATTTTTTTCATTCCTCAACATCGATCAACCGATCTTCTCATATCGCACATATGTGCGCGTTTTATTGCACTACGGGCGATGGTTCGCGATGGTTTGCGGACAGTGTGCACACGATGTATGAACGATGTGCGCACGGTGATTTTGGTGCGCTGTGCGATCTCACAACTGTATCATGTGATCGATACAGTCCATTTGGTCCTGTTGTTTGTTAATGTGTAAATTTTTCAAATAAATATCAATATTTTTAGATGAGAATTTGAAAAATGTACATTATTTTACAACGGGTGTAACGGAGATTTGCTGTCATATCGCCACCGTAATCAATATCACATCTTTACATAGACAAGTTGGGCTTTTCCATCAAAAACTGTCTGTACAATGGAAAATGAAAAAGTACCTCAGGAAAAGCTTGGGGTCTCATTATGCTTCTGCTGACGACAGTGGTGGAAGAGTTCAAGGCCAGAGAGGTATGCTTAATCTTTACTATGGTCAAGTTTTATTGTAACGATCATGATGTCATAAGGAATATTCTGTTTCCTTTGTGATATAAAAGCCGTAAAGATTTTTATATTTTGCTAATTATAATACATGTAACTACGCTGGTTCTTATTTTTGAGGACGTGACATTACTTTGATTGGACTACGATTGATATGGTGGGATTCTGTACAAGGGAAGATAAAACAACTGGAGGAAGGAACTAGGAATGTAAGGCAGTGGAGATGGAAAATCAATGGGCGTGGACTCGCCGTAAGATCTAAAGGCATAAACCTTGTTGCAGGTGCAATGTATACAGAGAGCTGAACACGAGGTATAACAAAAACTAAACAAATCTACACTCGTGATGATTTGTGGAGAATCTGAGATAGTCAGTGTGATCGACCGTATCCTGTCTTGATATGCTGGTCAATAAGTGCTGAAAGACGGACGATACAATTATATTGAGTCATGGCCTGGTGTTGCGCACATAGTTTGGAAAGTGAGTAAAAGTTACCAGAAGCACAGAAAATTATTTCATTCATTCCATTCCTAAAGGCATAAGAGACATCAACAGGAAGGTATTCCTAGAGTTACCAGTAAAATAAATAAGTTAGTGAATGTTAAGTGAAAGTTTGCAAATCCTGGTCACTCTTGATGACTCTGTGGTAAGAGTGTATATGATTCCTCAAAGATTGACCTTTAAGGATCATTGGTCAGACAAACAGGAACAAAACCAAATCATTTTTTACATTTTGCATATAAACAGACAGACAAAAATAAAATATTGAGTTTTGCATAATGCTTTTCAGTATTCAGGATATAGCTTGAAATCCCTCGACTTTATTTAAAATGTTTGACTATATGTTCAATTCATCCAAAAATGAAAGCATTTTAGCTTCTCCATCTGACAATAAAATTGCGTTAATATCATCCGTTCTTTATATTAACATTTCCGTATAATAAATCTTATCTTAATTTAATGATATTTCCCCGCCCCTCTGCTCCAAATGGGGTCACACCTTCTCTTTATATAATTATAAGTCCCTATGACCCAAGGATGCTATCGACCAATTGAAATATAAAAAAAAACTCCACAGAATTTATATCTCGCGTGCCTCTGTTTTGAGCCGATTAGTATTTTTCAAAATAATACAGAAATAGCATCAATGATGCGATATCATCACCCAGGGCATTTTGTTTATTCAGACTATTTTGAGCCTATTTGACCCCTGTGACGTTGAATATTGGTAAAGAACATTTAATTATTACAAACTTGGAAGCCCTGTGTCCCAGCATGTTATGACCACATATCATTATCCACAGCCTTTTAGTTATTCAGTTAAAATTGTTTAAAGGTTTCAAATATATTTGACCCTTGTGACCTTGAATATGGGTGAAGGTTATTTTTACTTTAACAAACTTGGTAGCCCTTCATCCCAGCATGCTACTGACCCAATATCAGCATCCTGCACGTTTTGGTTATTCAGAAAAAAATGTCTAAAGGTTTCAAACATATTTGACCCCTGTGACCTCGAATATGAGTGAAGGTTATTTATTTTTACAAACTTTTAAGCCTTATATCCCAGCATGCTGCTGACAAAATATTAACATCCACAGCATTTTGGATATTCAGTTGAAATGGTTAAAAGGTTTCAAATATATTTGAACCCTTAGACTGTAAATATGGGTAAAGGTCATATACTTTAACAAACTTGGTAGTCCTACATCCCAGCATGCTACTGACCCAATATCAGCATCCTGCACGTTTTGGTTATTCAGAAAAAAATGTTTTAAGGTTTCAAACGTATTTGACCCATGTGACCTCGATTATGAGTGAAGGTTATTTATTTTTACAAACTTTTAAACCCTTTATCCCAGCATGCTTCTGACCAAATATTAACATTCACATCATTTTGGATATTCAGTTGAAATGGTTAAAAGGTTTCAAATATATTTGACCCCTGTGACCGTGAATATGGGTGAAGGTGATATACTTTAACAAACTTGGTAGTCCTACATCTCGGCATGCTACTGGCCAAATATAATCACCCTAGGCCTCTTATTTATTCCGAAGAAGTTGTTTTAAAGGTTTTAAACATATTTGACCCCTGTGACCTTGAATGCAAGTCAAGGTCATTCATTTGAACAAACTTGGTAGCCCTTCATCCCAGCATGCTTCTGGCCAAATATCATCATCCTGCACCTTTTGGTTACTGAGAAGAAGTTGTTGAAAGTAAAAAGTTGACGCCGGACGGACGACGGACGGACTGCCGACAGACGGACGGCCGACGGACACTGCACCATGGCATAAGCTCACTTGCCCTTCGGGCAGGTGAGCTAAAAAGTGTTTGAACATTTCTAAACATATTCTATCTCTGTGACATTGAATACGGATACTGGTCGTTCATAAGAACAAAACGTGTTAGCCCTTCATTCATGGATGGTACTGGCCAAATCTCTCCCTTGGTCTTTTTGTTTTTCAAAAGAAGATGTCTAAAGTTTAATACACATTTGACCCCTGTGACTTGAAATATGGGAGAAGATCATTCATTTGAACAAACCTTGTAATCCTTCAACCAAGCACGTTACTGGTCAAATATTACTACTCTGTGCGTTTCGTTTATTCGTAATTCGTTGTTCATAGGTTTTTATAACTGACCCAGTGGCCTAGAATATAAATGAAGGTTATTCATTTGAACAAACCTTGTAAGCCTTCATCCCTTAACGGTACTGGCCAAATATCACAATTTTGTGCCTTTTGGTTATTCAAAAGAAGTTGTTTAAATATTCTTTTAGACAACATTGACCTCTTTAATCTTACATATATGAGGAGGTTATTCATTGTTTATACCTTAGACATTTGACACCTATGACCTTGAAATTGAGTCAAGGTCATTCATAAGAACAATCTTAGAAGCCCTTTATCGCTGCATGCTTCTAGCCAATTATCATCAGCCTGGACTTTTATTCAGAAGAATAAGTTTGAAGAATATTTAAACATTTGACCCCAGTGAAGATGGGCCAAGTTCATTAATTTAAATAACCTTGAAAGCCCTTTGTTCCAGCATGCTACTGGCCAAATATCATCACCCTTAGCATTTTGGTTTTTCAGTAGAAGTTGTTTAAATGTTCTTTAAGGCAATATCGGGCCAGATGAAAATTTTAATTTATGCTTAACAAATTATTATGATTAAATAAACAAAAGGCCCAATGGGCCTGAATCGCTCACCTGGTATTAATCTCAAAAGTGGACTAAAATACAGCGACAGGCAGAATATCAGTGTTTGATTCATAAGAACCAATTAAAAGATTTAAATATATAACACCTGTGACCAGGAATGTCGAACAAGGACATTAGGTTGAAAGTGGGTCAAGGTCATTCATTTGAAACCACTTGGTAGTCCTTCATCCAAGCATGCTACTGACCCAATTTCAGTACACTGGGCCTTTTGGTTATTGAGAAGTGGTTTGAAGATTTTATGACATTTGACCCCTGTGCCCTTGAAAGTAGGTCAAGGTCATTCATTTGAACACACTTGGTAACCCTTTATCCCAGAATGCTACAGGCCCAATATCAGTACCCTGGGCAATTTGGTTATTGAGAAAAAGTCGTTTGAAGATTTAAAGACATTTGACCCTTATGACCTTGAAAGTGGGCCAAGGTCATTTATTTGAACAAACTTGGTAGCCCTTTATCCCAGCATACTACAGGCCTTATATCAGTACCCTTGGCCTACTGGTTACAGAGCAGAAGTCGTTTGAAGATTTTAATACATTTGACCCCTGTCACCTTGAAAGTGGGTCAATGTCATTCACTTGAACAAACATCGTAGCCCTTCATCCTAGCATGCTACAGGCCCAATATCAGTAACCTGGGCCTTTTGGTTATTCAGGAGAAGTTGTTTGAAGATTTTACGACATTTGCCCCTGTAACCTTGAAAGTGGGTCAAGGTCATTCATTTGAACAAACTTGGTAACCCTTTATCCCAGCATGCTACTGGCCAAATATCATCAGCCTGGGCCTCTTGGTTATTCAGAAGAAGTTGTTTAAAGTAAAATATTCACGACGGACGACGGACGGACGACGAACGCTGCAACATGGCATAAGCTCACTTGACCCTTCGGGCCAGGTGAGCTTAAAACACAAATCAATTTCTGAAGAAAACCTGAACAAATTTGATGGTTATACTGCCTTTAGTTACTGAGAAACAGAGCTTATATCAAAAGACATATAGAATACAGTGCGATGCATGAAAATCTGTATCAGTTCTGAAGTCACTCTGACACTCGGAAAGGAAGTTTTCCTCTATTTCCCCTATTGGGCCCCGCCCTCTTACCCCATGGGGACCATACCCTTCTTTTATACAAAAAATAATCTCCTTTGGCCAAGGTACTTCTCCAGACTAGATCTGATCCGAATCCAATAAGCCTTTAATTAAAAGGACTACAGTATATATACAAATGTAGCATCATTTCAAAGGGGAAAGTTGATGGACAATGGACGGACAACGGATAATACACCATGGCATAAGCTCATTGGTCCTTCAGACAAGGTGAGCTAAAAGTGTTCATTAATACGTTTTAGTAGATGAAATCATTATATTGAACACTTATGTGCAGCAAAGGTGTAATATCATTGGGGTGAGGGTATTTATAGTATGGCAAGTTTTAGTATCTGGATAATCATCATATTGGGGATAATTATCTTACCTTGTCTGCTAAACCAATTACCCATATCTGGTCTTTTGTGTACTGCCTATGTGTTCCCAGGATGTAGATTTTCTGCAAATAGAAGTCTCATGTATGATTATAACTTTTCAAGATGATTAAATATCTTTCGATAAAGAATTGGAACAAGCACTAAACATATGCTTATACAAATTTTACTTTGTTGATGAAGCAAGCAAAACAAAGTAAATTTAACCATAACATATGGCTATTTTGTTTGAGGAGGACAAAAGAATGAAAAACAAATGCATGTCAAAAGTGTTCCACATCCCACGTAGAATACAGCGAAAAAGGATAGGTACAACCCATATCCGTTATAACTTAACAAGTCTATAATGTCTGGCTAATTGATTATGTGCAGATTTCTCCATTGCTGAAATGTATTTACCAAGTTCCAAAAGAATCCGGCCATATTTGCCCCATGAGGAAACTGTCGAGTAATCGGAACACAGTATGCTTATAAGTAAAGTGCAGATTACATCTGCAGTAACTTACGACTTGGTCTCAGTTTTGCATAATGTTCACGTTTACAAAGTCTCCTCAAAATCGAATGTTATTCAACTAAGTAATTCTGCGGAACCTAAAGTGTGGACAGACGGACATTCGCCATACCATATATATCGCATCAATTTTTTTATCAAGCTTATAATAAGATACAATATAATGTCATAATCAAACAAATGAGAAACCTAAGAGAGAAAAACTAAACAAAGAAAGGAAATATAAAATAAATTTGACCCCTCCTTCCACAAAATATGGATGTACCAACATTGTTTCATATACCATCATGTATTTTAATATATTTTAAATGTCTTTAAACAAAAAAGAATCTGAATTTTCCTTCTCTATTGATTTTTTTCAGTATAATTATTAGTTAGAATTGGTATCACTACAAACAGTAATGTAACATGACTATACATACTATCTACATTTTACAACAGGTCTACCATCTTACTAGAAGTGTTTGAAAGAAATCGCTCTAGTCCATATGCAAATCATAACGCAAGGTTTGCTAACAAAATACACTTCTAGCATTATGTCGTTAATTGTAACATGACACATACATCATATAGTAAAAAATAAGGCGATTTTAACATTATTGGACTGACTTTACAGTCAAATTTTCTTCATGGTATCACGAATGCATGCATTTCTTCAAATACCGATAATGTATATGTTGTTATGGAGTAGATATTTCAAAGTTTCCTACTCATGGAGGTGTTGGCAATATCCCTTCAGCCTTTCTAGTCAATAGTGTTTTAAATGACAAACAACAATACCGCAGTTTTTTAAACCAAATTTCGAACATAAAATTGATTACACCAGGACAATATAAGAACAAAGGTAAGATTTACATGTACTCCCTTATAAAAACTAGGCCAAATCAAAGAAATATCACATCCTCATACTGAGAATTTGGGGTTTTGTTTGTTTGGGTTTTGTGTGTGAGTGCTTTATGTCCTATTAGACCTTTCTCATTTTGGGGTAGACCTAGCACGGAGCGTGGAAACAGAGACCCAGACATGCAAATACAGGGGTCATTTCAAAAATATTATATATGGAACGTAGCGCATAGGGTATGTCACAGTGTGGATACGCACATGTAAGTGACTACAGGTAAGCGAACAGGTAAGAAATTATGTAACCGGTAACCACAGTCGTTATAGACTTTTTCGTTGCTCAATGCGACAGGTACAGTTGTATGTGACCGTGGCAATTGATATTTCAATATGTCCATTAAGGATCTCACACGGGACGTCTGTTGTATTTTCTGACGCCGATTGAATTAAAAGAAATTCCCCGAGCCAAAATAATCAGTTGGAAGAAGTTTGTTTTTTTACCAGAGAGACAGGGATCACATTTGCAGATTCAATTTACCATCCACAAACTTCTTAGGACACGATATTTCCATATAACGAAAGAAATGTTTAACGCTTACACGGTGTCTTTTTATATATAGCGTTAAGCTGAAGGTACTTTCGTCATTTCATTCCTTTGCATTTTTGTATTGAGGTGGTTGGAAAAAAGGACGTTTATTAGCACCCCTTCGTGACAAAGTAACGTTCATGAATGTTCCTTCGCAACAGTAACATGATGGCGTAAAAGGAGTGGTTTTCTGTATTGACATATGTTCTGGTTTATTCTCCTAAAAAATAACAACAGAGGAAAAGTAGAAATTTATTCAGTGTCCTGCTATTTTCTTAGTTGCTTAGTTTTAAATCGACAGCGTTCATGGAACTTTCACCATGCAACACAACCAAAAAATATTTAAATTTGGGTCGGGGGCATAATAATAATCTTTTGCTATTCTTAGAAGACGAATTTTCGAATTTCTATACTACTGCGATCAACTCTAGCATGCACCGAGTCTTTGTTTTCAGTATTAACCTTTTTTTTAAAGTGTTTTCTGGAGAGAAAAAAACAGTAATGGGTATGTTACTGCAGGTAAGGAGTACTAAAAGATGGTTCTTTAGTGTTTTGACGCAAGCAGCGGACAGGAATCCTAAATACAGATGAAATGAAAATAATTTTGAGATGTTCCCTGATTTTACTACTCTCAGTGTCCGTCTCTGGCTCCGTGGTAGGTCTGAGTCAAAATGAGAAATGTCTATTAACAGCTATGGTCATTTAAGGACGTGTGTTACGGCACGATTTCACACCCGGACACGATTTCTCACAAAGGTGAAAAATCGTTTTAAAATTGCCGAGTTCACATATATTTTAGCAGTTTTAGAAATCGTGTCCGGGTGAGAAATTGTGCCGTTCCACACGGGTTGTTTTGCCTATGGATAGAGAATTATACAGACTGTAGCAAACAGGTAGCTAAGCAAAGCAGAGCGCATACTACAGTTAGTGTCGACAAGTGTGCAGCTCTTTTCCTCGTCGCCATTATTTTCTCATGTAAGTATAATGGGTGTCGATCGTTTGAAAATAGTATACAATTGTTTAATGAGTTTTAACTTAATGACACTACATATTTAACTATATACACAAACATTGTACGTGTTAAACGTGTCACAACGATTCAAGACTGACTGGTGCCGTTGTCAAGCTATGACTTTGTGACTGAGTTGTGTTGTTCACCTGTGCAACGATGTTACGGCATTGTAAATGTCATATGTCGCTCGACACGGGTTGTTTTTCAATGGAAAGAAAACGTATACAGACTGTAGCTAACAGGTTATTATTTCTATATTTGTACTTTTACTATACACAACCATACTTTTTTAAATAATATAGTTATGAGTGAAGTTATGAAGAAATTTAAGACAAGATGAATTAGATGAAACACTATAGTTCTATACGGATCAAGCGTACTTACAAGTTGTGTCATTCACCGTCGATGTAGGATCCAAAAATGCATATGTTATGTAACTATGCTAGCCATCGTGCCTAACAACTAAATAACAAGAGAGTAGCATAGCCAATCGGCTGCCTCCTTTCAACAAATGACGTGTGTAGTTAAGCAAAGCAGAGCGCATACTACAGTTAGTGTCGACAAGTGTGCAGCTCTTTTCCTCGTCGCCATTATTTTCTCATGTAAGTATAATGGGAATCGATCGTTTGAAAATAGTATACAGTTGTTTAATGAGTTTTAACTTAATGACACTACATATTTAACTATATACACAAACATTGTACGTGTTAAACGTGTCGCAACGTTTCAAGACTGACTGGTGCCGTTGCCAAGCTATGACTTTGTGACTGAGTTGTGTTGTTCACCTGTGCAACGATGTTACGGCATTGTAAATGTCATATGTCGCTCGACACGGGTTGTTTTGCAATGGAAAGAAAATGTATACAGACTGAAGGAAACAGGTTACTATTTCTGTATTTGTACTTTTACTATACACAACCATACTTTTTTAAATAATATAGTTATGAATGAAGTTATGAAGAAATTTAAGACAAGATGAATTAGATGAAACACTATAGTTCTATACGGATCAAGCGTACTTACAAGTTGTGTCATTCACCGTCGGTGTAAGATCCAATAATGCATGTTATGTAACTATGCTAGCCATCGTGCATAACAACTAAATAACAAGAGAGTAGCATAGCCAATCGGCTACCTGCTTTAAACAAATGACGTGCGTATTTAAGCAAAGCAGAGCGCATACTACAGTTAGTGTCGACAAGTGTGCAGCTCTTTTCCTCGTCGCCATTATGTGCTCATGTAAGTATAATGAATGTTGATCGTTTGAAAATAGTATACAGTTGTTTAATGAGTTTAAATTAAATGACAGTTCATTTTTTAGCTAGAATGCATTCCAAGTATGAGCTGAATATCCGACATTTTTATGCTATCAAAACACCTTATCAGCAGCTGTTTTGTTACAATTTCCTAAAATTATTTGTTATTAAATAATCACTCTTACTTATACTATTTCAATTTCAATAATTTTTATTGTCAAAAGTCAAATACATTGGGCAGCAGGCATAGCCTATTTAAGCCTTTTCCAAACACAGTAACAAACAGTGGTACAAGTATAAATATAGAACTATAGACATTAGAACACATACAAACACATAAACAAGTCGATATTTTCAAATAAATAATCAAAGTAGGAGAAACAACTACTAAATTCTATTTTTATTATAATTTAATCTAATGGTTTGAATTCTAACAATTTATTTTGATACCGAAAAGATATTTAAAATATACATGTTATTTAGGAAAAGACAAGATTTGTTTATGAAGCTGCATTTAAAAACATTGGATGGGATCAAATTACCGCCTCCAACAGCTACATGCCAAAACGTTCATTGACGTATCACACAAGGCCATCCATTGATGAGGTTGGAATTTCAATCCCACAAAATAGTGTAATTTATACATATTCAACACAGGTTAGATATATAATAAACATGTTGTAGAGCTTTATATTCTTATCTATGTAGTTGTTTTCCAATATCTTTTAACAAAGTAGTATAAATGGTTCTCTGAACCCAAGCACCCCTCATCTCAATATGAAAAATAAACAAAGAAGAAAAATAGGAAATAACAATATTAATGTATAATTTTTGGAAACCAGGAGAATTACACTGAGCAAATGAATGAATGAATGAAAAAGAATTAATAAATGAATGATTAATTTCATTAAAAAAAATAGTTAAGCGTCCTGAATCTTCTAGAACTTGAAATGTAATTGGATACAGATAGGAGAATATGTTTGTTTTCATTTTCATCACATCTCTCACAACCATTTAGCATGACATCTAATGATAAATGGTTGTGTTTTATGGAATATATTCCGAAAAAGTATAGTACGATATTCAGTGGGTTTTTATACAATCAAGGAAGTAACTAGATGCTGTTTCAAATCTAGAACCACAAGAACACGCAGAGGTTTTTTTTCTGACGGTCATAATTTAAGTTACTGGCCTCATTTCTTAACTAACAGAAAAATAATATTAGTTTCCCGATTTCCTTAAAACTCAAAGAGATCAATTGTTCTTGTGTTTGAATTAAGAATTGGTGTTATTAACTTTTTTAAACTGATAGGCGGAACGAATATTTTGAAAAATCTGAAGTCATATTATTTATTTCATTTTACATAGATGGAAAAAAGCTATTAGAATAGTAAACAGTTCGACAAAGAGGAGGATCAAATTCTAATTGATGTAAGGGGATGCCTAGCTAGTGTGGGATCATGAAAATGTGACTCAGAGATTTATTTCACATAATCTTGTACAGCAGCATCACTTTATGTTGTTTTCTAATTATCTGTACAAGATATTGTGAAGGGGGGGGAGCTCTACGTAGTCATGTACTTTTTCTTTGGGCCTTATTCTTACATATACTATTATGTGATGCATGTGTTCAGGGCTCTACCGTTGGTGAAATTGTCACCGCTCCATGAAATATTGACTAATGATGACCAATAGTAACAAATGGCTATGAATAATAATAATAGACTTTATTTGAATTCGATAACACATTGAGTCAAGGACTCATCTCACATGTGGTCGACATAAAATATACAATATTTACAACATGAGTAAGAAAAAAAGATACATTGCATACATGCACACATAAAATACATTAGGTTAAGATAGTAGCATATCACAGGTAAGATTATAGTACCACAGGTTTCGAAAGATAAAACAAGTGAGTTGATTAAATATCATGCAAAGCATAAATTCTCATGATGAAATTTTAGAAATTAAGAGACACATATTGTGTCTAAAATATATATATACCAATATGGAAAATTGTAAAAATTGACCGAATAAATGCTAGTATAGCATGAGCTTAGACCAAAACAGATATTGCAGAACATAAAAATTATTATTAAAAAGTGTAATTAAACCTGAAATTATTACACATGTGACGAAGCGTAGGAGAACAGCATAAAAGTATCCAGGTATGTTGGTCCAGATATTGTCAATACAGCTGGAAGTAGTTCCGGTAGTTCTCGTAGGAACACTGACAATGTTATAAAGTCCACAGCTGTCCATGGCGGAGCAGAAATATTTATAATATTAAAGTTTCCCATTATCACAATGGTTACATTTTAGAAGAAATCTCATAAAGCATAACTCCCATCTTCTCAAACCAATCGCATTTAACACCCAGGGGTGTATAGAGGGAGCCGACCATAATTGGCTTGGTATTACTTTGACATATTTCAATCCAAATTAGTTCAAGGTTTTCGTTGTTGAGTGGGTGTCGTTCCTTGTATTTGATGCTCTGATTTATGTACAGAACAACACCACTTCCTTTTTTATGACATCTGTAATGTCTTATAAAGTCATATCCAGGAATTAAGAAAGTTTTACTTGTGTGGGTATCATTTTGCCATGTTTCACATAAACTGCACAAAGTATATAATTAAGAACTTGAAATTTGATTTCATAAAAGTGTTTGGGAAGACTCTTCACATTCCAGGAAACGAATGATATTCCCCTTTTTAATGACGTTTGGTAAGAGTGCTTCTGGGGAAAAAAATCTGTGTTTGTGTCTCGAATACACTGATCACATATCAGGTGAGTAAGTCATCAGGTTTCTCAGACAATAGGGTGTGTCCATTGGTTGTAATGCATTATTTGTGCCAAGACTGAAAAAACCCGGCACAGTATACCTCTATTCTGTCAAACTTTACAAGTAAGTCACAATAGGGACAGTCCATTTGTGTGGGGATGATCCCTTCACTAAAGGGGGATTAGTGTCTGTGGGTCCATGGTTGAGTTCAATATCGCTGGACAATAGCAGTAGTAGAAAAAGTACATATTGATTTGTTCTCACATTACTACTTGTTGATCTATTCTCTGGTCAATATGTAGTTATATGAAAGGAAGCATAACAGCGTGCGTTTTTTCAAATTTACGAGAGACATTTATAGAAACTATGACAAGGTAAATTAGCCTTTCAATGCAACTACTGAAAAGGGGTTTTCACGACTTGAGTAGGGAGGTCAACTAAAAAATTTTNCAAGGGAGGTAATCGACGATCAGCCAACTGTGTTGCCAATGTAAACTGAACAAAGGGAGAAAACTGTTACAGGCCAAATAAACTGAATTCAAGTATAGTCTGTATGTGATAAGTGAACATACACAAATTATTTTGTTCGACATAATTATGCAATTTGTTCTCTTTCTTTTTCTTCTGTTAATGATGGTGAAAGGATGCTTTAATCAACTTATCTTAAGATATGCATGAACAGGCTAAATAGGTTAACTTAATCAAATATTCAACTAAAAAAGTAGAAATTGGTTGTTGTTAATACTTTATAACAGCAAATTTTCTACTGTAAAATTTGAATTTAATTCAAGTAGGAGAGTGAATTTAACAAGACAATGAAAGTTTTTACTGATAAAGCCCTTCTATGGAATTCATAGAGAGTGCATTAGACATAGATAAAAACGTTTGGATTGCAATGGCAAGAATACAATAATGAAACCTGCAAAATTTTACTGCTATAGAGTACAACACTGGTTTAAAATTAAGGACAAAATTACTTACCACCTCACACACTGGTTACCGATACAAAGTGTTTGTAACTTTGGCGGCTGTATACGTCCTTATCATTTGTCTGGAAAGAAGTTACAATAATTTATTGTGGAATTGAAAATATTGCATTTGTTGTAAATCTATAAATTGAGCATATTCACTTTTTCTTGACATAACATAGAGGTGATATTTTCAGATTTTCAGTGTCAAAAATATCAGTTTTATTTAAGGCATTAATCTTTATATTTCACTGTTAAAAATGTAATGAAACATTAAACTGGAGTCTGAAATAATTCGTATTTTAATACTCACAACCCAAGACTTTGAAGATACTTACCAGTTACCACAATCAAAATCTGTCACGGGAATTAGTACGAGCAATCTGAATAAGGTCTGCCCTGTGGTCGTATGATTATCTGGTTTTGAATCTGTAACATACAATAATGCATCAACACAA